CCTGAGCTCAAGCACCCTCCAAAGTTGCTAATCTAACTTTGTCTTCCCATTCTCTGGCCCACTCAACACAGGCATTTTCAAACTGATACCTAACTCTGTGCCTGACTGTGGCAAGAATCCTGCCTGTATTTTCTCACATAACCTGTGATCACCTGGGGTATAGGTCAGTCTTGGATCCATGTCACAAGCACAGGCACAGAGATTAAAGTCATCTGCCCAAGATCACAAAGCTAGATCCTGTCTGGGCCAGGATTTGAACCCAGGTAGTCTGTATCTAGAGACCACGCAAGACTCTATTAATTAATCTAAAGGCCTCAGCAAAAACTCATTTTTCATCCAAGAGTCTGTAGAGCAGTGGAATACTTTCAAAGGGGCATCAGGTGTCTGCAACTAATTCTGAAGTGATTTGTTCCCAACTTTCCAAAAGGTGTGTGTACATAAGTCTCCACCTAGACAGAGACTAAGTGAATGTGGCAAAATGTAAACACTGGGTGAGTCTATGTGAATGATACATCATTCATTGCACAATTCTTACAGCTTTTCTGAAAGCTGAAAATTTCAGAATAAAAAGCTAGAAGGAAAAAAAGGAACATCATGTCCCTTGTCTCTTTATAAGGAGAAATACCAAATGTTCTGCACAGCTTTTAGGGGATGTATGTACTGAGCCAAGACACAGAGTTTTCAAAAGAGCAATTCTAAAATTAGGTCAACATGTGTGAACATTCTTAAAACCAGCCATTTTCTGCCTACCCTGAATTTCTGATCAACTTCTGAAATCACCCATGTCCAGCTGGGTGCTCTGGGGAGAGTGTCTGTGCCCCGTGGTGGTCGCAGCCATCCCCTTGGAGACCCAGACATTCGAGCCCTCCCGCTCTTGCACGGCTGTGTGAAGGGGACGTGGGGCCCTATCTTAGATCCTGTGTGCCTTTGCCAACCTGTCCACCTCACCCTCACCCAGGATGGGTCCTGCCTCTGCCATTACCTCTCCGTCGATGTACTTCTCGAGGCAGATGGCGCAGTCGGACGTGGAACTGCTGCTGAGTGTGTCCAGGGCTCCACAGCTCCCCTCCCGGCGCCCCTTGCTCTTGGA